AAACCAACAGAACAGTGACTTGCAAATTACAACACCGTTGCCGAGTCGAACCGAGACGCCGTGCAATTAACTGCGAATCAGCTCCTCATCCGTCCTTCCCACCTTTGCTCTCACATGAATGCCGGTTCCGATGGTGTGAACCCCCAAGTGATAAAGCTGTGCAAAATTTTGAAGGAACTGTACAACTGCAACTTTCGCTACGCCCGGATTCCCAATGAGTGGCGAATGGCACCAGTTACTCCTACTCCTAGTCAAAAAAGAGTTCAACGAGAGCAGATGTCGACTCCTTCTCGTTTATTGCCATCATGTCTGTCCTCCTAAATAGCTTCGAGTCTAATTCAAGTATACTTGCTAGAAAATAACGAAAACAACATCGACCCCTCTCAGTTCTCGTACTGAAAGAAACGAAGGCCATTAAGGAATTTATTTATGCATCCTGCCCAGTACACCCACGCAAGGGTCATCATCTTTCCGAGGCTGCAGTTGTGTGACTCTAAGGCAATAAGGTGATCACTGAAGCTTGTTTTCGACATAATGGTCTTCCCTTCAATGACTTGGCGTTACAAGCGTCTGAATCAACAGTGTCGCAAGCCTTCTGTATTGGGGACTCCATCCTCAACTATCCAGCCCACGCAATACAAGAATACCTCGCTCAGCGCTTCTCGCACACCACCAGCACCAGGTCTGAGTTTGTGAGCATCGCTCTCCGGACAGAGCGTTACCGGAAGACCATTGTCACAGCGACACCGTGTACCCTCAGGGAGTCCGGTAGCAACATCTGACGATGCTCAAAGTAATATGATTCACATTCGATGCAGCCATTTTGCTGTGATAATGGTACCAACACATTCCTATCCAGACCATGTCTCATTGTCGTTCATTATTATGCAATTCACTGCTCAAAAACGATGTTCTACTGTGACTTCATTTAAACAATAAATTATTAAACTTTCAATTTTTCATTATCATAATTGACAGTCAGTTATCATGCGAGTCCCGATGCAGTGCAGCCACAAGAAGCTCTCGAATCAGACAATAGGACCGCACATCTCGCCCATTCTGAGACGATCACACCAGACTTCTATGCTGTCTCTGTTGTTGGCAAAAGTTCTTGGCTGGTTGCACCGAATCAATGCGGAGTAAATTCTTTGCTCCAGGTGATTCGCACTTAAAACAAAGATCCCCCTTTCTCCTGATTCGAACCCCGAACCTCCGGAGTTTAAAACCGACCTTGACAGCATGCCATCGCACGTAATGCATTTCGCATGAACGAACTGCAAAGGATATTTTGCCTGCATTTCCTACGACGATCACCTTCCCT